GAAATACGCATTAGCTGCAATTGTTGTTATTATTAACACTTCTTGCTACAATGCAGGGCAGACCCCCCACAACAAGGTTATCCAGCCCAAACTGTCATGAGTGTAGAGGGTGAGGAAAGCTGTATTAAAAATTAAAGGATCTGGCTGGTTAAACATAGGAAACATCTGCACTTCAAAAAACCCTTAAAAATGGCAGAAAATATTTGAAACTTAATTACAAAGAGTTAATAATCCAATCTATGTACGTGAAGACCTGTTGGACAAAAGTGAGTGCCTAACAGCAAAATGGACAAATCTCACTGATAAACACAAATGGATAAAAAGCATTAAACACATTCCTCCAAACAAAAAATAACTATACTTCCCAAGTGATCAAAGGGTACCTCTAATGGTACCTCTCAACCTGGCACAGACTTTCTAACGTGCAGTGCCAGTGACAACCAGCCCCACATGCTGCCAAATGGGCGTAGAAGTTGGTTTGAAACAAACAAAAGACCTTCTGAGAAGAAATTTAGCTGTACTTAAAATACATATCCTTTTTCCCTGGATGGGTAACTCAGTGTTTGGAGCATTGTCCTCTACATCAGAAGGCGGCAGGTTCGATTTGCAGACAGGGCACAGGTTCGATTGCAGGTTGTGGGTTCGATCCATGGTCAGAGTGCATATAGGAGGTAACTGACTGATGTTTCCCTCTGACAATGATGTTTCTCTCTTTCTCTCTCTCTCAAATCAATTTAAAAAAATGTTTTTAATTTTAAGTTTTATATTGAAAATTACATGTCTTTTAACAGCACACAATTTTGGAAATCTATTGAAAGATATTGTTAAGAACATGTTCAACAGTTTAGCTACAGAATTTCAGCTCAGCATTGTTTATTTTGAACAAAACACTGGAAATCTCTAAAATGTCCAATAAGGAGAAATTGATTAAATAAATCGTGGTGTATCTATACACAACTCTTAAAATCATGTTATAGCAAATATTGCCATGGAAGGATGTTTTTGATATACTACTGATGGAAAAATATACAAATTAAATGTATATAATTCATGTCGTAAGAAAATAATATATATTAGAAGATGTGTGCATGTGTGTTATAAAAGTCTGTAAATGCACTGGGATGACACTGGTTAGTAAGATTAGACCAGCTTCAAGTGTTCATGGGAGCTCACATAAGTGTCGTGAGGGCAGGGAATCTGGTTTGTTCTCAGCTGTAACTCTAAAACATACAACAGTGTCTGGCAGAAGGGAAAAATAAAAAAAACCTGTTTTTAGTTTTGCTTATTTATATTTTTTCACTGTTCTGTGATAAATAAATTATTTGTATAATACATTTCTTAAATGTTACTCTTACAGAGAATACTTCAACAGCTAAACTAAAAGTTTTACAAATAACAGAAATGGAAATGCCACCTACTTCACAGGGCCATAGGTTTAAATAATAATTTAGGTAAACATGCTTTGTACACTGTAAAGCGCAGCATGAATGTCAGAAATAAGTTACTCTGTGAAGAGCACACGTTTCGAAGTTAAACCAGTTTCATGTATGCTTGGCTGGCAGCCTACCTCTCGGCAGTTTCACTCCAGTAGTTTGTGTTACTTTAGAAGCAAAAAGTTGCACTAGTAGAGAATTGGTTGAGAATGGGCACATCCATAAAATGAAATAGTATGTCACAATTAAAATTCATCCCATAAAAACATATTTATTGACATATACTCTTAAACTCTATTTAAAAATTCATATATGTAACTTAAGTAAAATAATCCTCAGTGCAGTGTACTATAGCCTCTAATAGGTCACTCAAAATAATTATGATAATAATTCTTATCTTTTTCAATTTCTTAATTTATTCCACTTGAATTATTCTGCTTTTCACTTTTAGTCACTTGTTTCTAAAGATTTGGTCAGCCAAAGCCATCAACAACCTTCTATCTTTTGGTGGCTAAATTATAGCATCTCATGGGCTGCACTCGGCCTTTGAAGGCACACCTGCTTTAAAGCCACACTACAGTCTCAGGTTAAGCACGTGCATATTTTATAAAAATGTAGGTAATTCCTTTGTACATTTCAATGTTAGTGACTTCATATCTATGTATCTTTATGCACTAGTCACTACTTCATAAATCAGAAGCTAATTATCATTTTCTCTCCTTAAAACAAATGTAAGAATAGTTTTCCATTGCTTTATTTTTCCTACTTTCACAGAGAGATCATAGAAGTAGGGTACAAAGATGAATCACTCAAAACTAAATCAATAACAGCTAAAATAAAGTATTTAAAAAATATGAACTGGATTTGAATCCTTTTATAAACATAGACAGTAGGAAATTTTTTCTCCCAGAGAACTCTATAAGAAGCTGAATAACTTTTATACCAACCACTGTATGCATTCTTTAAGTTGAATACCAACTCCCAAAAAAAAAAAAAAGCAGTAAGTTCTATTTCACCAAAGACTATTTATCTGCTATTTAAAAATTCAGTTAAACCCTCGTTGTCTAGTATTATACTAATTAAAGGCACAAATGAAAATGGCCTCATAGTCCTTTAATTTGATTGTATGAGACTGTCTACCAACACTAGAACTAAAATATTTCCAACATGTTATTTACAGAATATTGTCATTTGGGAAGCTGATCAATAACATAACAACAATGGAATTGTACAATGATGGGAACCATTAACATTTTTAAAGTATTGTGAAGCTTCCAAATGAAATCAGAGCCCAAGAAAAGTGGAAGGAAGCAGGACGATGAATATAAGATGAAGTGATTATCATGTGCCCAACGAGCACCAACGCCCAGACGCTGAAGAGGCCTGTGGTGACAGGTGACCTGTGGAGGAGAAACATGAAAGGGTTCCGAAGAAGAGCAGGGGAAGCATGAACGTGAGATGCAGAGCAGGGCTGGAGAACCAACCTGAGCAGGAAACATGAACAGAAGAGGCAGACGCTGCAATGTGTCAGCACGAGAAAGAATCCCATCATGTAGTCTGTGGCTTTCCTCCGGAATGGTTTTAAAATCAAAAGACCCCACCCACTCCCTATGGCAAATAAACTTCCTACAGACTATGAAATAAAGTGGCCATCTAAACTCACAGTTTTTTTAAAGTTTCTAAAACCTTGGTCTATATTCAGTTTCTGTAAATTATGCCTAAATGTAAAACATTCCATTTCTTTTCTCCAGATGCTTTCTTGCTACAACGGACAGGTTTTTGTTTTCCACGATAAATTCTTGAACCACCTTTTTTAGGGCAGTTGGGTAGGGAGTGTTGTAGCTTCAACTCAAGGTGGCTCTCTCTGTAATATTTTTTATAAAATCTTGGCATTTCTGCTGAACCATTTGATGTTTATTAGTTTGTTGTTGGTACTGTTTTGTGTTTCCTGGACTCCCACACTTTTATTTTAAATATATATATAAATTTAAACAGGAGCCAGCAATTAGTATCTCAAGGATAAATATAGCTCTTCAATTTAAAAAACAATCCTGAAAACTAGAATAAGTCCCTGGCTGAATCTTGTGACCTAGATTTATAAATAAAGGTAAAAGTTAAAAAAAAAACAAAAAAACTTTTTTGTAAAATAGACCCAAAAATAGCCATATAAATCCATTTTCCTTCTATGGCTTTTCATTTACATTTTCATTAAAAGCATGTTCACTGTGAAACCATAATTATTTTCTTAGCCAAGCAATATGGGAGGGCAACAAAGAGAAGGAACAACTTGGAAGAGATGGCATCAGATTACAGGAGTGGACAATGCTTTTGGTATAGTGGGAGGGCTATTTGAACTCCATTATAAGACTGCTCTGACTTTTACAATAATAATAAAAAATAAACCTTACTTGAAATAGATTCATGCTTCTCCAAGTAACTGATAACACATTATAAAAACACAATGATTTTAGGCATAATAAAAGTAAAATTTCCATATTTTGTGGACTACCAACTTATATATCCACTCAGCCAAGCTGTTTTCCTGCTGGTAACTTGAATTCCTGTTTTAAAATGGTGCCAATTCCTCGTGGGTGTTCTGATGATGAAAGTAACTTTCCCTAGGTTTTAGCCAAGCTTTTCCACTATCGTATCTTATGAAAAAGCCACAACGCTGGTGCACACCACAATGACCAGAGGGGGGTAAAACTATTTTAGAGAATTATTTTGATGTTTAAAATAATGGGAGTTGGGGGGAGATGCATTAAAAATAACATGCTAATTAAATAATATACTAATTAAAATATGCTAAATAGCTCTGGCCGGTTTGGCTCAGCAGTTAGAGCATTGGCCTGAGGTCCAGAGAGACCCAGGTTCGGTTCCTGCTAAGGGCACGTACCTTGGTTGTAGTTCGTCCCCAGCCCTGGTTGGGTTGTGTGGGAGGCAGCCACTCGATGTGTCCCTTTCACGTCAATGTCTCTCTCTCTCTCTCTCTCTCTCTCTCTCTCTCTCTCTCTCTCTCTTCCTCTCTCTCCCTTGCACTCTATATGAACAAAAAATAGAAAAATGTCCTCGGGTGAGGATAAAAAATTAAAATATGCTAAATAAATAATATGCTAAAATAATTAGGTAATTAAAACATGCTAATTTTGATATATACTGATGCCACATACCAAGCTTACTAAATACTGAATTACTAATTTTTGAAGTTGGACATGCATTCTGTTTTGTGTAGAATGATGAAGGGCAAATAAATCAAAGGAAAGAAAGAACAGCACACAATGCTGAGCTCAGGGCAATGTACCTGAAATGGACAAGAAGTCTGAGGAGGCATCCTGGGTGCTGGAAGCAGATATGCTATTGCTCTCACCAGAACATCACTGAAAATCATTCCCCCAAAAGAAGACACACTGGTTATGTAACCCACAGACCTGTATGATAGGCAGTGTCACAAGTTCACGTGCCTCTGCGTGTATATGTGACTTTGGAAGGTGTTTTAAAAATGTGATAATACCACAAGCTGGGAGAAAGTAACAGTATCATAATCTATCCGAAAGGTGACACACTGACCTGATTGATGGAGTTGGCAGCACAGGATGCCAGGCCTGTTCCCAGAGAAGTGAGCAAAAAACAGGAGAAGTCGAAAGGCCCCGGAGCCAATGCGAATCCTGCGGAAGTGGTGCTGACCACCAGAGCTGCAACAGAGACAGAGCAGACGGCGCGTTACCAAGGCAGGCCCCACGCTGCAAACACCGGAGCAAGCCACCTTCCTGAGAAACAACTGATTACCATCATAACACAAATGAAGGCTAGCCTTCCATTAAAAAAAAAAAGAACATTTTTCCTATTATAAAAAGTGTGTGTTCATCACAGAAAAATGCTCACTTTCCTTTAATCCCATTATATGCAAGAGGAAACAATAAGGTGGGTGTTTTAGATTGAATCACTCACTTACTCACTCAACAAACATTTATTGAATACCTAATCCACAATCAGCACTGTGCTGGCATCAGACATTGTATGGGATAAGGAATGAGAAAGGTCTCATCCCTGCCCTCAGAATTTGTTAGAGAGGGAGATGACAGGCATACAGTAATAACTATAGAACACAAGTCAACAGCAAGGATCCTGGTTCCGTGGGTCTTAATTACCTGAGTAGAGGGTTTGCCGTAACAGACAATGGTTCCAGGGCCCAGAAGATAACTAGAAGGTGACTAGAGAAAACGAGAGTCCTACAGCCTCCAACAGAAACAAAACAAGAGGTGAGGTGCAGAAGCAAAGCCATGAAATTCAAGCATCCATGACGACTGCTCCTTTTCTGAGGCCCGGTACTTTTGTCCTGGGGATTTACAGAAGCTGACAGGGCCAGAAAGTCTAAGGGGGTACTGAGACAGGGCTGCAGACACTGGAACAATGATAACTAAATGAACAAATTGGAGAAGGCTTCAAGAAGATGGCACTCAGGCTGGACCTTCGGGGGGGAGGGGGATTTGGAAAAAGGAGAGTAGTGGGATGGGCACTATTACAGGTGGCTGGGTGATTCCAAGAACTGGCACAGGGACAAGAAAAACCAATGTCAAGATTTGAAAGCATGTGTGACATCTGCCTAGATTTTCAAACCAAACAGCCAGGAAGCATTTTTGAGTCTCTCCTTTCTCACCCTTTTCTACAGCCCATCTACTGCAAAGTACTGTCTGTTCTTCCGCCACAAGGCTTTGCAAACACATCTCTATTGCCAACCTCTATCCAGTGGTTCATAACCAGGGCTGGTTCTGCACCAGGGGGCTTGGGCAACGCCTAGAGACACACTTGCTTGTCACACTGGAGGAGATGGGTACTCTGTCCTCTAGTGGGTAGAGGCCAAGGATGCCTCTAAACATCCTATGGTACAGAAGACAGTCCCCAAAACAAAGGATTTTCTGGCCTAAATGTCAGTGCGCTGATGCTGAGAAACAGGTGATGCAGTCCACGCTATTGTCTTGCCTGGACAACCGCAAGGCCTTCCTTCCTCCCTGGTCTCCTCCTTCTTCCACCTTGCTCCACGCGTGAACGATATTTTAAAAATGTAAACAGATCATATCACTGTGCTGCATAGAAGATCCTCTGACACTACACCTGGCATGAAATGCAAACTCCTTCCCAGCCATACAAGTGCATCGTGGACCCCTCTCTAGCCCCCCGGCGAGTCTCCCATCACAAGGATCCTCTGTTTAAGCATGCCAAGCTCCTTCTTGTCTCTGAGCACGTGTATTTTTGTTTCCTTGGCCTCTTTCATGATCAGCTGCTCTCATCCTTCAGATCTCATCTTGAATATTACTTCTGAGAGAGAACTTCTCTGACTATCATACCTACAGCAGGCCCTGCCCTGGTACTCCCTCCCTCATGTCATCCTTTATTGTCCTTCACAGCATTCATCACGCTGTGGCTCCACGTGGAATATAAGTTCCCTGAAGGCGGGAGCTGACAGTACCTCACTGCCATGCCCTCGGGGTCACCACTATGCCCGGGACAGAGCAGCACTTGCTGGAGGAGGAGAAAGGGGGTGGCTGTCAGATGGCAGAGCATGACGTTGAGGAGTTTGCATGTAGTTTGTTTGGCCGCAGAGTCTCTGACAGTTCAAAGCAAGAAAGTGGCCTATGACTGCGAGTTTCACTTGACAGCAGTGGGCACCAGGGCTTACAACAAGCAGAGTTATATTACTGCAGAGGAACAATATGAGAGGTTATGTCATCAATCCACTGTGCATAATCGTAACAAAAGTGGGAACCAAACAGATATAAAGGGTGCTTTGATGGTACAGTTGTTAGGACTTCTTAACTGTGAAAGGCGGGAAGATAAAACAAAATGACAGCAAAAAAGAATAAAGGTAAAGAGCTGCCCCTGGGTGACATAAAGAATGACGACAGTAACAGAAATAAGGAAATCGTGGGGGGCGGAAGGTGACCTAGCCAGCTGGTCTTAGGAAAAGGTGCTGTTTGTGAGGAACCATGCAACATCCAGGTAGAAACGTACAGAACTTTCTGGAGCTCACGAAAGAGACAGGAGACAGGAAGGAGGCACAAAGCTCTGGGGTCCTGCGCCTACAGACATGGCTGAGCCCGGGGGAATGAAGGAGGAGCTCAACAATGGACAGCATATATAGTGAAAGGAGTGTACAAAAAAACACCAGAAATTTACCGTTGGGGCTAAAGGAAATAATGACAGACACAGACAAAGAATATTGGGAGAAAGAATCAGGAGGATGAGGAACCATGAGCGGGCCACAGGAAGCAAGACCGGAAGACACCACCATGGACATCAACAAGCAAATGCCAGAGAAGCTGGTTATTCCTTCTCATGGTCACAAGATGGTTGGCATGCTCTTCAGTCTAGTTTTATCACAACATACAGAAACTCTTTGTAGTTCTACCACGGGGACAAGCCCTGTCCCGGATACCTGTGCCAGCATAGGCTTCTCGATACTCCTATGTATCTGACTGGGATCAACGACAACTTGCAAAGGTGACTGAATTACTGTGTGGAGATTGTCAACCTAAACCAGAAGTTTCTGGAGAGCATGTATTTGGCAAAGGGGTCTTTCTTTTAACTTGGAGGTCCCCAACATGGTGTGTATCCGAATATTCTGGGGAAGATTTGCCTCCAGAAAAGAGGATAGAGGTACAAATTTAAGTAGACTGCACAAGAAGGTCCAGGAACAAAAATACAGGTTTGAATCAAGAGTACAAGAGACAAACAGAAGACTAGCAGCTAAAGGCAAACAGGAGGTTTATCAGAAGTCACAGAGGAGAAGAGTGGGCTGGCTGAGGCCAGCAGCCATGCACCCTCCCTTCTGCTCCGGAGCACAGAAGCCTGCCCTGGCCCACATACGGTACTACAAGTCAGAACACAACAATTTCACATAAGTACAGAACGGCAGACGAAAAAAGAAAAAATACCCATGGACCCAGGGCAGCAATCCAAGACTAAACACTATTTCAAAGGAAACATTCTGAAGAAACTTTTAGCTCTCTAATTCTCTAATGACTTATGCCCAAAAGAAAATGCCACAGTGATTCCAAGTTTTGAAAACAGTAGTTGAGGTACCTATAAAAGGATATTTTACCCAGGTGAGACAGGAAAAGAACAGCCTGTCATATAATAGCCATACCTGCACACATTTAGTGACCATCAAGAAAAGCACCATTTTTTTAGAGCAAACAAAACTCCTTTGAATACTCAAATAGCGCCGTTCTTTGAGTAGTTTTTTCATTTTTTACAGATAGCACACCATAAATCGAGCCTCATGGACAGCTGGCATTCTAGAACGAGAGTCGTCCTGTTCTGCACCACTCGACAGCCCTCCAGACGGGCTAGGCGCTCCGCGCACAGTGCCCTGTGTGCACAACAAGCCAGGACTGGAGGAAAGTCCTTAACACCCAGGCTGCTTCTCAATTGTACCAGAAGAATGCTGCCACCCAAGAAGCAAGGTTGATGGCGTCAGTGGGAGAATTTGAGGGAAAAGAGACTGCATGGTATTCTCTCTCAAAAGGAACTAAGTAAATTGCTTTTATCCACAGAATAAATCAGTCAAAATAATTCATGACTATTTTAAGGCCTTGAACCTTAAATCAAAAGTAGACTGCTTATAAACATCTCTGGTGGTTAGAAGAGCACAGAAAATCCTTTCTCAATATATAATTAGCAAAAGCTAGAGTCACCGAAATAAAGAACTACTTTAGATATCTCTAAATATCCAAATTACATTTTGTATTGTATTTTATAAACAAATAAGAAAAATCAATGACTACCTAGTGGACGAGATGGCACAATCATTAAGCTGACAAAAATAAAAATGCTATAAAAAGAAAATTCACTTCGTTTAAAATAAAAAAATAGATATGTAGTTTCATTAAAAAAAAAAAACTGTTAAATTCAGAGGAGAAAGTATCTCGTTTGTTTGTTTGTTTTTCTATTCACCCTAGGGCTTTACTGAGTGATGAACAATATAGATAGCACATCAAATTTTTAACTAATGGGGTCAACTGATAAGCTGAGAGGTAGAAAGTGGCTTTACAAAGCACTGACAAAGGGAAAAGGTAAGACTTAATAATGACTAAATTTACAAAAGAGAAATAACTACCTAACTTAAAAATGTACAAATTGTGGATGGTAATATAAATTAAAAAATGATAGGGGTTATTATTATAGCAGAGAAAATTGGAATTATGCAGCATATTTCCAAAGATCAAAAGCTAACAAAGCATGTATTTATACTTACCTCATTAAGCAATTAATTTAAAGAAAGAGAAAGGCAGAGGACTGATAAATTGTGCAAGTAGGATTGACCAAAGCAATATTCTCATACAGCAATGCCACAACTGTAATTAAACTTTTCATTGATTTCCTGGGATTCATTACATGGAATCATTTTACAACAACAGGATCTCATTAAAAGCGAATGTAATATATTCTTTCATTAATAACACTTGAAATTGTATTTTATTTGGTAATCTCATATTCTGTTCCTTCACCAATAAACATAAAATCAATGCTGCCCACGAAGCATGACCCATCCAACAGAGGCCCGGGGCACTGCTCTGCAGGCCCAAGGATGACCCTGGGGGCCCGAGGAAGAGTCACCAGCCCAGCCCAGCGGAGCCCGGCCCATCCCCGTCCAGCCAGTGAGCGGCAAGCACCCCCATGCAAAGGTTCACCG